TATAAATATATAAATATATAAATATATAAATATTTAAATATTAAATTAACTAATGAAATTAATTTTTGAACTATATTAAATAATATTGAAATCAATAACAATGCCTAATCTTATAATCAATTACTTATTGATTAGTTACTATGCTCGCTGCACTGCCGCAACCCTGGCAACCCTAATCGAGTGCTATCTTGGCCATATTTTCATATGTGGCCGGCCTTAAATTTCAGCTTCTCACGTCACACCTTTGGGACCACCTGGCTGCTGCTGCTGCTGCCGCCGTTGCTCGCGCTGCTGCTGCTGCATGCGCTTATTTTCGTTCGTTTGTCATCATTTTTTCAATAAATTTCAATTTCCCAGCCGCAGCCCCGACGCTGCGTATCCTTTGGGCCGCCTGTGAAATCCGAAGTGTAAAATTGATTTAAATGGCTCGTGAGTGAAGCAGATAATTTTCAGTTGTCAGATGCTTGTAATATTTATGTGCCAGCGATTATTATTCCCGTCTCCGTTTAAAGTTACCTTCACGCGTGCATTCGGCCGGTTCACCTCGCCTCGCCTCGCCTCAGCCCCAGCCTCAGCACCAGCCCCAGCCCCAGCTCTGGCTCACTTTTAATATGAATAATTGTGGCAAATTACATGGCAATTGCATATAAGCACCTGGCCCCGCACACCTCTCGCCAATCGCTAATTGAATTGCCGCACCAATTATGCGGCCTATCGGACGTAAACCATGTCTCAGCTGAAGGCGTGCGAATGAACTTTTCTGTTTCCGCTTGCATTTTCGGGAGGTGATTGGAAGAGAGCAAAGTTGAGGAAATTTATAGAGCATAGATAGACTTGTAGATATTATTTGTAGCTCTTAAATAAAGAGGTTAGTGAACTATCATCTTAAAAGTGATTGGTAAACAGAACTTTGACTCGATTTTATTTGCTAGAATTGGGGTTAAGCGCTAGAATCTATTCTAATAATGTAAATATTAATAATAATAATATTATTATAATATTTTTAGCATTATATTTAGAATTATATTCATTATTATTCTTACTATTCATTATTCATTATTCATTACTATTCTAATAATGTAAATATTATATTTAGTATTATATTCATTATTATTATGCTCATTACACTAATTATTAAATCTGTAAATCTGAAATCTCTTTAAAAACAAAGTCAAATTTTCGATTTTGATCGATAATAATCAAATGGGAACAGTTATCGAATGAAAAAAAAAATGGAAACCTTGTATTGAATATGGTATAAATGGTATATTTTGAAATTCTGTAGCTTTTTTTGGCTCACGTAATGGTTTCCTTCATATAAGCGGACAGTCGAATGGATAGACGGATAAATGGACAGATGGACATCACTATATCGACTCTTTTATATAATGATTTACCAATTGAAATGGGTTCGGCAAGACGTATAGGTATAACTGTGACCATTTCATTTCTCATTCTACCTCGAAAACTTAAGAATCCCATTGTAATTTTGCAGGGTATCTAGCTCTCAAACTTTGGAACTATGAATAGCTATAAGATAACGAATATTCCAGACAGATGGAAACATAATCTACTACCCTAATTTTAGAAATAAAACTATAGAAGAATTATCTGGATTTCATTTGGATTTGTTATACATATATACACCATATTTCGTATATATGTACACCATATATCATATACCATATGTCATATATACCTTATACCTTATACCACATTTCACTTCATTAAAATCCTTTCAATGCGACGAAAGATCAGAGACCACCCGGTTGATAAGAGAGTTGAAGAAGTCTAAACAATAACAGGTTCATAAAGCAAATGAAACTACTGAGAACACAAGACAGAAACAGTTGATTAGATTTACGATGCGGCTGGGTTAGGCGCCGAATGGGCGATCGATGCTCGCTGTATGTAGGAGTCGATCGAACTGCAGTTAATCTCGACGATCTTCGAAACTTGTCCAAACAAATCGCATATCGATTACGAAGCTGAGCTTTTGGAATCAATGTGGAATTTGCCATTCAAAACAATTTATTTGGGCGCCAGTCGCGGCAGGAGGAATGCTCAAATAAGTGTTAGGGAATTAGGGAATCATCAAATTTACATAATAACAGATCAGATTTCAGAGCTCCCATTGGGGGGATGGGGGGGATGGGGCCAGTGCGACGAGACAGTGACAACAGTTGGATATGTCAAAATAGCCAAAGGGAACATAAAAAACATAAAACAACAAAAACAACAGCAACAACAACAAAAACAAACAAACATCTAAAATAGGTAAGAAAACGATCCCGCAATATGTTAATGAAACGTTGAAGAAGAAGAAGATGGAAAACAAACGCGATAAAAATCTTGTACAACATGAATGAGAAAACGAGCTGCAGCAGCGATCAACACCACATTCTGTGTGGTTAACGTGGATCGACGGATCGCACAGCAGATGCTGGAAGAAAGTGCTGGACGTCATCTGTGGGCATTCTCTGCTGTCGCTGCCCCTGGCCCTGCCCCTACCCCTATATCATTTTTGGGTGTTAAAAATGAAGATAATAACGAGTGTGGCGCACGCGCGCTCGTCAAGTCCAAGAATATCACCTGCTGTGCCCACCTGAGACCCGCAACAAGCTGTTGGGTAAACAAAGCGCCCTCGCCTCGGACCCTAATGAAATGGCGCCCCCAACTAGGCAGCTGCCTAGAGATCAAAAATTATTAGAAAGAGTTTCATACACTTTTTTCTTTTAATATATTTTCAGATATACGAATATATATAGTAAGACAGAGAAAGAGAGAGAGAGGGGTACATATACGCACATTGTAAATCATTTGTGAAGCGTGTTATTAATTTAGTTGAAATGATTATTAATTTTACGTCATAAATCTTAACTTGAAGCGCTTCGCTGCTTGAGCCCTTTTGCAGTCCTCCTCCTCTCCTATGCCCCTCCACCAAATGGGCTCCAAACGCGACGTGATTTTTGTCTGCCTGTGGGTAATTAGCTTTGAATACCTAAGCGAGCTGAGCTCCAATACAAATACAAATACACCAAATTTGTGGCTGTATTGTTCCGTTTGTATCGAAGAGATTAACGGCATGCGTTGAGTTGATAAAGATCAGCAGGCAGAGTGTTAGGAATAGAGCAGAAAGAGACAGATGATGCTCGTGTGCAGATGCATATGATATGATATATATACACATATTCATATATAATCAAGCTCATTCATAAAGTCAGAAATAAGAGTGTTCTAAGTCTAGAAGTTGCCCTAATCACAATCATTCCACACACACTGTATAATTTATATATAATTTATAAATATAGATAATAGACTTATATTTATATATTGTATTAATAATATTGATTATTTGACAGTTTCAAAATTCCAAATTTTATTTATTTTTATTTATTTTTCAAGAATCATCATATATTAGATAATTCCTTTTTGATATCTGATCTGCAAAGGTATGAATAAAATAATTACAGAAATTTAAGCTTTTATTGCTGTGGGATCTACAATTTTTTCTTATATTAATATGCATATACATGTAATATTTTTAATTGCATTTGAATATTTCGATTTACTTTGTATGCCCTTTGGCAATTTGCGAATGGGTAACATTGATTTCTGAATTCAAATTGCAACAAGCAGGTAAAAGTTATCTTTAGCAGACAGGTGAACTGGGTATAATGTAGGGCTGACTGATGCCGATGTGTATGAAGAGAGAAAGAGAAAGAAAGAGAGAGTAAGAGAGAGAGAGAGAGAGAAAGAGAGTGACAGCATATAAATTGATGCAATATCTCGTTCATATTTAATTAAATCTGCAATTTGAGTGTCTGCTAGTCGAGCAATCCTTGTCGAAGGCTCCCCTTCTTGTTAATTACTGCAATGCGAGCAGCAATGGAAATGAAATACAAAGACGAACATAATTAAAAAAAGGAATTTCCAACGATGCATAATTTTGCGTAGCATCCTCGCCACAGGATTGTGGTAAGGTGGCATTTAAGCCTACATACCGCACACTGCAATTACATACCACACACACACACTTGCTTGCATATTGTATGTACTTTACATTACATGCATATTGTGTGCGCTCCCATTTATCAATATCAATATGGCGGCCATTGCGCATGACGGGTCAGAGCGAGGCGAGCGCTGACCAATCAGCGATTTGTTATTGCTAGCTCTCGTGCATGTACATTGGTGTAAGTGCGTGTATTTGTGTGTGTTTCTGTTTGTTCATAAACAGGTAGCTTGGAGGAGGCGTGTCCAGCAATAACAATCGAGTGCGTTGCAAAATATAACCTGTTTGCCTACCATCTCTTTCACACACACACTGTTGTGTGTTCACCGTTCACCGTTCACTTTACAGTGGCTCTCAAATTGTGAAGAGCAACAGATATCGCATGAGCCTGACACTGGTGGTCGAAATAATGTGCACATACCGAAGAAGAATCACATAATTACACTGTACTCTTTAGGTCAAATAGTTGTGAAGTGTATGATAAAATTATTTAGTTAAAAATGACTATAATAAATCAGAGATTTTAATAATAATAATAAATAAACATTTATTTAAAAATATACATATGCACAAATTTTTTAAATGTAAGTATATTTAATTTACTATATAATACGCATGCAAATAAATTAGATTGAAAGTGTTTTGCTTTTGCTATTAATAATGTGAAGGGCCAGCTCTGTGCTCGCCTCTCTCTCTTATCTCACACATTCAAAGAGAACAACATTACAGTTTGGCATGCGCTGCTGCTACGTCAAACAATTGCCTTCTCGCTCCCGCTCAACGTTCAGCAGACAGCAACCACCAGCAGACTCGCAGTCTCACACACACACACACATGCATACACGCATACACACCTCAGCATGCATGCATGCATGCATGTTTGAATGCACACCAACACAAGCGCAGCGCTCGCTTGCTTGGTTGGCCATTGCGTTTGCCCTGAGCGGCATTTTTCCTCCTGCTTGTTCGTCCAATACTCAGTTACTCTCTTGCGTTGCTCGCGTGCGGTTCGCAGTTCGCAGCTGAAATTTCTGTTGCCCATTCGTTGGTGTCGCTCGTGCGTCTGTGTACGACGGCCCCGCCGGCACCGAACCGATCTAAGTTTTTTCGAACGGCAATAAACAAATGTCCGATGCATAAATCAAAAAACAACGCGCACAACAAAGTGATTTTCGCACAGAAATAGAATCAAGCCGAGCGCTAAAATACTCACATAAATCGAAAACGTGCGCACACAAAATATACAACAACGAAAAAATAAAGAAAAGCAAATAAGAGAAGAGAAAAGTAAAAGAAAAGCAAAAAGCGGCGACAGCCACTGAAAAGTTTTTTATCAATTTTGCGTCTGGTGTTTTGTTGTTCTAATTCTTGTTCTTGTTCCTGTTGTTGTTGTTGTTGTTGTTATTATTATTTTTAAACCTTGTACGCAATTAATTTAAGTCGCGAAAGCGGAAAATTTTGCGCAAAAGATTTGCAACACGTGTTTATGGTAACAGTGCGTATGAAAATTTGTTGCCTGTCTGCGCGGACGCAGCTATTTTCGTTTATGCCCCACACACATACTAAGAGGAGGTGTGTGTGTGTGTTTATGCGCGCGCGTTAAATGAAAGCGCATGTGAGTGCGTGTGTGTGTGCGTGTGTGCACATGTTTTGAAAATTCGCTAATAAAATTTCGACAAACACAAAACTTCAACGCAAATGCATGAAACAGCAACAACTCAAACAACAGCAACACGGATACTCGCAGCTGCGACAGTGATACCTAATAGAGACATATTTTACAAGGCACAGGTGAGACATTCTAGCCAAATGCCGACGGCAGTCTGATAAGGCATACATTTACATAAATGTATGGAAAAGGTGATCTTTGACCTTTGAGATGTAGAGCATCAAGCTAGTACATGGTGATGAGCCAATTGCCGTTAGGTCTTGAGAAATAGCTGAGAGTCAATATCAAAAGCTGATTCATTGGATTATGTATATATATTATATAAAAGAAAATAATAATAAAATAATAAATAAAATAAGCCAAACTACATGACAAATATCTTATGAATAAGTACACAGTTAAAATTCTGGCCTAATACAAAAATCTAATTTAATTTCAATTATTTTTAATTTATATTTCTACTGATGAAAGGAATATCCTAGATAAATACTTAGAAATATATATAGAAAATAGATAATAAATAACATTATAAAATATAATATATAATATATAAAAGTATATATAGAGAATAAATAAAAAATATATATACATAGATAGATAGAAATACGAAAATCAATGTTTACAATTATAATAATTAAAGCTTTATATTTATACATATATCATGTTTGCAAATATTTTTATTTTTTTTTATATATTTATTTATTTATTGTTTATCTCATAAGAGAGGGAATATATATACATGTATATTACATTTAAAAATGTAAACAGCCGTAAAAAAATATTTTAAGCAACTCAAATTTTGTATATACTTATTGATAAAGATATTTAAAGTATATAAACATATTTATATATATATGTATTTATATATATGTGCACATACTCTTTATATATGTATGTACATAATCTGTTTCTATAACTGCAATATTATGACATTCAATCGCAGCGTAGGCTTAGTCAGAGGCATTTGGGTGGGGAGAGACATACATAAATGATTCACAGCCAACTGCAAATTGAGAATCCACTTGATGATAATAGTAACCCAAGTAAACTGAACAATGTTAAGCAAGTATTCAATATTAATTTAGGAAAATTAAGAAATTAACATGAAAATCAAAGGAATTTGCAGATTTGAAGCTGAAACTGGCGATCTGGTAATACAATATCAATACTGTTTGCGAATAAAAGGAGCAAATATCAAACATATAGAATACCGTAAATAGACATAACTTACTGCAAATATTTAAATTTAAGGTGCTGCCCAATTATTTTTATTCAGTTTAAATAGGGGCTCAGGATATTGATTGAAAGGAAAGGATTGAAGGTACATTGGATAGATGCTTAAATCTTTATAGAGCTGCTGAATAGCTGAAAACTAAATTTATTATTATCTAAATTTAGGTTTACTATTCAAATTTATTGCAAATATAAAAAAATACCAAAATTGTAAATGATATTCACAGAAAATTTTGTTATTCACCTTAATGAGCTGATTAACAATTGCTTTGTTTTGCTCTTTCAATTTTAAATTGGCTTATGAAAACATTAACAAATGCTTGCTCAGGAAAAACAAGCGATTCACATGAAAAACATAAGTGTTTTTAAATTTTAATATCTCCTATTTCGGCTAATTGACAGCTTTTTAGTTTTCCTTTTCCAATTCCATTTCAATTTCAATTTCAATTCAATTTCAGAATTCTTATGCATAGTAATTTAGCATCATTTCCAGTTGTCATTCATTCATCACATTTAGTTTTTGCGTATCCGTGAGATACTTTTGCTGCTGCTGCTGCTGCTGCTGCTGTTGGCATTGTTTATTTATAAATAATTTTTACGAACAATTCATATTGGTTTGATCATGCAAATGCTCTATGGCCAGATATAAATTCATATTCTTAAAAATTATTAACAGCCTCAATTTTCGCATTGGCGAAAGTTTTTTTCGGGTGGGTGTCTTGAGCTGTCTTCTTCTCCTGCTGCTTCTTCTTCTTCGTGTTGCTGTTGTTGTTGTTGCTGTTGTCATCGTTGTCATGTTTTGCATGCGAATAGTTTATTAATGTATGTAGGTATATTGTATGTATGTATATTTTGTAGCTTGTTTCACGATTTTCGATTTAGCATTTAAATCGAACGAACGTTTAACCAGAACTCAATTTATTAGCCAGCGCGTGTGTGTCGTCATATTAAGATTTATGAAGTGGTTAGCCGAACACAGTTGTTGACTCGCGATATATGTATGTATTCGATTTTATTTTTACATTTTTATCTAATGCAATAAATTGAAATACTCTATTGGAAAACTGAAACTGAAATCGTGAACATGCAGTAAAGATATATTAAAGCAATTAATGATATATTGAATATGATGTGTGATATATTTAATAATAATATGCATAATCCATAAATATTTAATAAAGAATAACTTAATTATATAGCTCTAAGAATTCTGAGTAAAACAAATTTCATGTTCTTATCCATAGTTTTTTTATTTTAATTATAATATAAAAATTCCTTACAAATTTATTTGCTTTTAATTAATGCAAATTTTTGCAATATGATTTGTTTCTCTATATAAAATATATATAATATAATTTAATAAACAACAATCAACATATTAATCAAATAAATACACATTTAAAATCTTAATTTATATATAAATTTGTAATTTATTTTTTTTATTTATTTATTTTTTTTGTCGTAGATTATTAATGTTTGTTTATTTGATAAATGTGTATCAAGGACTTATGTGTGCGACAAATATATATACATATATACATACATATTATACATATATCATTTGCATCTTTTAATCTCTGTAATTAAGCATTTGGCAAGCGCAAAATAAATATATTTAAATAAATGCAAATACTAAAAGCAAATTCAAATTGCAAATATTAAAAGAACTATTAAAAAATATAATATATATTTGTGTGCAAATATAATCTGCTTAAAGAACTATCTGATAGATTACATCTGATTTATATTTATGTGTAAAATCTTGTAATATTTTAAAGAATTTATTGACTTAACAGCTCAAAGACAAATTCTTTATTTTTTGTGGCTAAAACTAGATCAAACTTCCAAATTCGAGCTAAAAATTTTAGTTCTATGATTTCTCTCTTAGCTTATATAATATGTTTTTTTTTTTTTTTATTCTTTGCTCAACAAAGTTGTAAATTTGTTAGCTTTGATGATTTTACGCATTTGCGTAAAAATTTCGCTTTAATTTGCGTGCAAAGCGCAGAAGTTTTCATTCAAAAAGATTGCGAATCGTTGGCCGGTTGTTTGGCCAATTTAGACTGAGATGCAATGCAAAACGAATTAGCCAGGCAGTCAGCAGCAGCAACATTAGCAGAAACAGAAGCAGCAGCAGAAGCAGGAGCAAAAGCAGGAGGCAGCAGCAGCAGCAGTAGAGGCAGTCTTTCATTCAAATTCAATTTCAGAATTTAAGCAAATGTGGCACGCAGACAGACACACATACACACACACACATAGATACGGATGGCGATGAAGATAGAGAAATGCGGATACATTTAGTCCGGGCATGCCCCAGCGCATCGCACATTAAGTTGACAAATTTCATTCATTAGATATTTGTGTTTAATCTCTGGGCACGAATACCAGCTGGCAATTAAATGCCAAATGGCAAATGGCACAATATACAGCCAACTTTTATCTCATAGATACAAAGCAGCAGCCATAGTGGAGTCGCTGCTGTCGGTCATTTAAAGTTAGCTGGTTTATTTTTTGTCCGCTCTCCCCTTTCCCACTGGTTCTTTTGTTTACTTCCGCAGAAAGGCTGGCAAATGTGCAATAACAGCTTCGAATTGTTGAATTTGTCGATTACATTGTATAAACACAGACGCCAATAATTCGCAGATAATTCACTTTCAAAACAGTCCTCGTCTCTGGATTCGGATGGTACCGCAGCCCAATGCACTTGCTTACAGCTAACTTGGCTTAAATGAGCCTAAGCCCTGGAATCCGCATCTGTTCCCTACGCAGTTTAGTTTCACAGCTCAGCGTGCTCGAACGTGTCGCAGTGCTCCCCAGACAAAAGGTAAAAAAAAAACAAACAAAAAAAAAACAAAAATTAGATCTTTCAAAGATCTCTCAAAAAAACTCTCGACATTCCAATTCGAGCTGCAACTATGCATCAAATTAGTTGAAAACTTTTATACGTTTCGACTTTAATTAGAAACTAATTAGGTGCTGATCACAATAGACTCGTTTGAATGCGATTTGATTAACAACAGAAAAATCGAAAAAAAAAAAAAATAGATTCAATTCGACGACAACTCTATAAAAAAATACAAATACACACACGCACTCGGGGAGAGCTGAAATAGAAATAGAATCCAGCCAGGGCCAAGGTGTCCGCTTTCAGTTGTTGTTGTTGTTGTTGTTGCTGCTGCTGCTGCTGGTGAGCTGCTCCCGCATGCAGTTAAATTTGACAGGCGAGCAAGCCAAACAAGCGAAGACAATAACAATAACACTCAAATTAAAAGCTTATAAAAGTCAAGCAGAGTAAACAGAAGAAGCGGAGGAAGCAGAAGAAGTAGAAGAGGAAATCCACAAGCTGACAGATAACACATTCGAAGTAAATTCATTTCCAAACTGTGTGTAAGTCGAGCTGAATTTCTATTGTAAATTCAAATTCATTTTAGTTTGATTTGAATGACTGAAGAGGCTCGCGCCAGCATCAGATAAAGTATCTGAGAGGCTGCTGTGGCTGCTGCTGTGGCTGCTGCTGTGGCTGCTCACTCACAGCACTTGGGGGCATCTGCATATGGCAGGTCTTTCGCCCCAGCCCCACCCGACAGCAGCAGCAGCAGCAGCAGCAACACAGATCATATCGTAGTGCCATTAAGCGAGTATCATATATGTATATATCGAATGTGCTACTTGATTCTAAATTTGTAATCGGGTCAGGCGAAAACATTCCACACAAAAGAATTTGATTCTTTTGTAATTCATTAAGTGTTGTAATCAAATTAAGTTCCGATAAGATTATGTTCAACAGGTAGAAGCTCAGTTGAATGGCTAACAAATTGAAGATCAACTCTAGCTGTTGACAGTTATGTGAGAGGCTTTCGGACATCAATCTTGACATATTTTTATGTTAAAATCTCTAAACAGACTACGGAAAGAGCTAAAATGTCGTTTCAATAAAATCGTAGATTCAGTTTCCCATTACACTAGGCAAGTGTCAATCAATCAATCAGAGTACTGCTTGTCTATGATTTAAAAACATGATCAATCAATCGAGCAGTCAGTGTGTCAATAAAAAAAAATTTGCATAACTTAGATTAAAACTCCATCAGTTTCGATTCATCGTTCAATCAAGCAGTCTACTATATAGTCTATCAATCAAACACTCAATCAATGGCAAATTCTGCTTGCCCACTGCATTGATAAATTGACTTAAGATTACAGACTAAATTGCATTTATTTAGTTCGTTAATTATTCCGTTATTAATTCACTTCATTCAGTCAATCAATCAGTAGCAGTAATTCAATCAACATATCAATACTGTATATTGATATGCATAGCGATAAAATGTATTGAAAACCCATATGCAAGCATCAAATTCGTAATACGATCTATTCCACTAGAATCTCTATAGACAGCTATCAACTAAATTCTACTAAATTCTAGTTCAATTTCAATCAAATTTCGTTGAAGTGACTAAACATTCAATGCGAAATCAAATTGAAAATGAGAAAATGCCAAAGGAAAAACGCAAAACACAAAAATTCTGATTGGAATATTTGTTGTATAGAGAGAAAATTGATTGCATTTCGATTGATTGTTGTACGATTGATCGTTTGGCTTGTGTTTTGCCATATCGTATGACGGTGTTGTACACTATTTCAACTATATAAATTGCCGATCGCACACGAGCGATTGACCAGACACACACACACACACACACAGACATACATGGATATAGATATGTATATATAGTCGATTATATAGCATATTTCGTTTCACATTCGTTTTGCTTGTTTACTTGCGTCAAACATAAAACAAGCCAAAAAAAAAAAAAAAAAAAATACATACATATATGTATATGTGTATATATCTGACGCTTGGCCAAATGGGAACGAGCGAAGGGGGTGAGTGGATCTCGGTGGATCTCGGTGGATACGTCGGGCCTAGGCCGATGACTCAAGAGCAGGCAGCAAGGCAGGCAGGCAGGCAACTTGGCGTTGGTATTTTTGTTACAGCAGCAGCAGCAGCAGCAGCAGCAGCAATAGGAACAGCAGCCAAATGAAATGTTTCTACTTTTTTTTTTTTTTTTTATATATATAATCTGCCTCACGCCGAGCCAGAGTGGGAGAGGGAGTGGGAGAGGGCGACAGCGTGCGAGCGAGATAGAGCGAGCTGAAAATTGAAAACAGATCCGAAAATATCTCGAATCTCGCTGCGGCGCAGTTTTGCCTCAATTTGAAAACATAGACGAGGTGCGAGCTGCTTAGAGGCCAGGGGATGGGGCTTGCCATGGGGGGTCGAGCGGGTAGGTCACATAATAGATCTTAGATCTTGGCAAATGCTGCGATCAATTGCGCTGACCTTTGCAGATATTTTATCTGATGGATGCATTGCAGCAAATCAACGCTATGCAAATATACATATATTCATATATATATATATCTGCATACAACTGTATAATATAACACTGAATAGCATGCGCCTCATTTAATAATGTTGTGTAAAAAGTTTATTTTTGTTGCGGCTGACGTCGCGTCGCTGAGTTGTTTAGAAACTCATACTTGAATAATCAAAGAATATATATTAAAAGCAGCACACACACACACACACACACATACACACACCTGCCCCATAGCCGATCGACTAATCGACTTTGACAACATGGGGTCCCGTTCGTAGTGCCCATTGCTGGAATGTCTTATTCCGTTCGGCTGCTCCGCTCGCCATATTTCATAATGTTTAGTCTAGCATAGATCGACGGAATATGTGAATATATTCAGTATCTGCAGTTTTAATGGTTGTTTCAACAGCTTGATTTCGCTCAATTATCGTTCCGAAAACAAAAACATTTCGAGAACGAGAATTACGGCAATAAAATTATGAAAAATCGCCAACAATTAGCATGGCCATTGGACACCTGCCTCGATTGGGCAGCTGCCAGCGGAATGGAATTGATTTTTAGTAAATATTGAAATGTTCTCTAAAACTAATGCTGATTAGGTTCATGTTGAGTGAGAGATAACAGACTACAAAGACTTTATATAATTCTTTACACTTTAATTATTTTAATTGTTATGTAATTATAGAAAGATTAAAAACCTTTGTAAATTTGTTTTCCATTTTCAAAAATCATAAATCTTTAATTAAATTTAAAATATTTAAAAACAAATATATTTACAAAGCATGCATATTTTGTAAATAAATAAAAACCTTTTTTTTTCTACCAGAACTTATGGACTTTTGAAGAGAATTCACTTTAATTTATTTTCAATTGGATTTGGTATCAAAACTTTTTAAAATAATACATAAATGGACTAATGTAAAAGAGATTAAAGAGATTACAAGAAAATCACTACGGAAATGTAAAGAAACAAAAGTTTACTATTACTCTTTTATATTAGGAAAATCTTTTATTGTTTTAAAATGAAAGAATTTTTTTTTTATAATCTGATATAGTAATCATTAATATATTTAAATAAATATTTTTTAAATTAGTTTTATTTTAAACTTATTTATATAATTTTCTAAATTATGGACTTTTAGACTATAATACGGAACTAATTAAATGGCTTAAAAATTAAAGAATTTTCCTATAACCTACCTAGTAATAGTAATCATTTTTATATATTTTACATTCTTTTATTGCTTAAAACATTAAGAATTTTTAAAAGTGATAAATCAAAATAAATTATATAAAATATCTTTAAAATTTTGCTATTCCTGGCGAAATCATATGATGGGGCTCTAATTATTTATTAATTAAAGCATAGACAATAAATATATAAATATATACATATATGAGAAATATTTAAACCATTTATTCATATTTTAAATACACAGAAGCTGGATAAACATTGAAAATGCCTTTTTAATAAAATTTTTGAATATTCAATTTTTTAAGAAATATATGTACTGGTAGAGAAACTTGTTTCAATGTATATTTATATTTCATTAAAAACTATAAAAAAAAAACTATTTAAATACAGACAATTTTCTTCTACTTCAACTCGTTGCAGCGCTCAAAATATCAAAGACAAGCGAAACCCAATTTCCGCTAGGCAATCAATGCATTGAGCTGCTTTCGGCATAGACTCAACGCACATAGCCAGATCCCTGGCCTAGAGCTGATCGGCTCCTTAACGGATTTGCAAGAGAGAAGAGAAAAGGAGACAAATATGCTTCAGCATCCCGCCACAGACTTCTACGATTTGGCTGCGGCCAATGCGGCTGCGGTGCTGACGGCCCGGCACACGCCGCCCTACAGTCCGACGGGGCTGAGTGGGTCGGTGGTTGCGTTGCACAACAACAACAACAACAACAACAACAGCACAAGCAATAATAACAATAATCTCGATATGTTGACGCACAACGGTGGAGGCGGCGTGGGCGGTGTGGGCGTGGGTCTGGGCAGCGGCGGCGGCGGCGGGCTGAGTGGCGGCATCAATGCCAGCGGACTGCACCTGAGCAGCGGCGGCAGCAACGGCGGCGCCACAGCTACAGCCGGACGCGAGGCACTGCCCAGCTTTGGCTTCACGCAGGAGCAGGTGGCCTGCGTGTGTGAGGTGAGCAGCAGCTCCAAGAGAAACTCTGAGCTCCAGGCTGATCTCTCTCTCTCTCTCTCTCTCTCTCTCTCTCTCTCTCTCTCTGTCACGGTGGCTTTTCGTAGGTTCTGCAACAGGCGGGCAACATCGAAAGACTGGGCCGCTTCCTTTGGTCGCTGCCACAATGTGATAAACTGCAACTGAACGAATCTGTGCTGAAGGCCAAGGCGGTCGTCGCATTCCATCGTGGCCAGTACAAGGAGCTGTACCGGCTGCTCGAGCATCATCATTTCTCAGCCCAGAATCATGCCAAGCTGCAGGCTCTGTGGTTGAAAGGTGAGACGAAGTGCAACTAGCTATCTCCCTCTCCCTCTCTCTCTATCTGTTACTATCTCTCTCTTTATCTTACTCGCTCTCTCTCCATCTCTCTCTCCCTCTCTCCTGCTTCCTTTTCCACTCACTCTGACTAACCCGAAATTCTTTCACTGTAGCGCATTACGTGGAAGCCGAAAAACTGCGCGGAAGACCTTTGGGTGCTGTGGGCAAATATCGTGTTCGCCGTAAATTTCCATTACCCCGCACCATTTGGGACGGCGAGGAGACGAGCTACTGTTTTAAGGTGAGTACGCACACCTTGCCACTGCCGCTGCCACTCCACTTCACTGCTTGCCACATTAATTGCGGCAACAAAGGGCAAACAAAATGAAATCGTAGAAATGTCCATTCGTCCCTGGCTCAGCTTTAGGCTTTAGGCTGTGCAGCACACAGGAGCATTCCTGGCTTACTCCAGGGCAACGCCTCCTGCCTCCTGCCTGCTGCCTGCTGCCTGCTGCCTGCTGCCTGCCTGCCTTCCTGTTTGCTTTTGGGCTTTATCTATGCAGGCCTTCAATTGATTAACTCTTCATGTTGGGGAGTTTTAAAAGTTATGAGCAGCATAAATCTGATGTAGCAATGGCGGCGTTTATTTTACATGCTATGCCCATTGAAAATGGAATGACAGGGTATAATGGTTTTGCGAAAGTGCATGTAACCGGCAGAGGAAGGCGTGGCAGAGCTGATAAAGAATGTGGTAGAAGAGGACAAGCGTAGAATGATTGGGTTAGCAGTTCGGTGAGGGCTTTCTTTTCCAATATTAAAAAAATATATTCATAAATATATTATTATAATTATTTTGTGTATATTATATATACTTAATATATTAATATACATGCAAATATCATATGGTAATATTATTATTAATATATATATATATATATATATATATATATTTATTTATTTTTTTTTTTTTTTTTTATATTAATATAAATTTAAATTATCTTATGATTTTGGATGCAAGATTTTGAATGCAGTTTTAATTATGAAATTAGGAATAAAGCTTTGAGACTGCGTTTCAATTTATTAACTTAACTAACATTAATTTTTATACAAATGTAAAATTTTCAGTAGACGGAGACAAACCGAAAAGTAAAATATATTTGTTATATTTGAGAAATTGAAATTCGATTGTTTGATAAATGGTTGGAATAGAATCTATTAGAGTTGCAAAAAAAAAAAAAGAAGAAATGTTGGCAAAACAAGAAATTTAGGCAGAAAAACTAGATATTCATTAATAAATAAATACATTTTAATTAACATATAGTGAGTAACATTAATATTCGTTTTTTTTTTTTTTTTTTTTTCAACTTCAATTTCAAGCGCCAGACATATAATATTAAATGAAATTGAAAGTGTAAATACTAAATTGTAAATTGAAAAATCAGGGTATAATAACCTTTCCGATGAGCTATATATCAATATATTTCATATAATTAACATAGATCATACATAAACCGGAAAGAATTAAAAAGTAAAAAAACGAATATTAATGTTACTCAGTGTACATATATACTTATATAATAAAAAATTCTTTGTGAATAGAACTCGTACCAGACCAAATATTCTTCACTAACCCAATAATGTATAGGCTATTCCTAAGATCTTCTTCAACATAAATTAAAAGAAATTCCCTAAATTCGTCTATTTTTTCTTAAAGCACATCATAATGCCTGACTTTACCTATATACAATAACCCTATATACAAATCCACTAACTATCCATTTCTGTCCTGCAGGAAAAATCCCGTTCAGTATTGAGAGACTGGTATGCGCACAATCCGTATCCATCGCCACGGGAGAAACGCGACTTGGCCGAGGCCACAGGACTGACCACGACACAGGTGAGTAGCGCGAGCAGCGCCAGGTAGCCAATTGAACAGTTGAGCATTCGCAATTTGTCAACTGTTAATTGCATGCCGTTAATCAGCTGGCAAAGAAAATGTATTTGAAAATGATGTATTCGGCTATTTATAGAGTTGGAGGACTATATATACTGAATATGAGTATATACATATATATATATATATACATATGTCAATATAGTTGTATGTGTGTATCTTTACAGGTTTCCAATTGGTTCAAGAATCGACGACAAAGAGATCGCGCGGCCGAGCATAAAGAGTAAGTTCTCTTACAAAATATAAATATATATATATAGATCTATAATAATATATATACATACATATATACAGTTATTTGGTTAAGCGTCAACGCGTGCGAAACGAATTGGTATTTCAATTTGAATTACTTGACGTTTACACACTTATGAAACAAGGCCAATTCGTGGCTGTTGATTGTGAATGGCTGTGGGTGGTGGTGGGGGGTGGCTGGGGCTAATTAGTGTCAAGGACACGTGTATAACTATGAATGATATGCATACATAACTTGCAAAGTATATGCAGTATATGCAGTATATTCATTATATTCATATTCATGATCATGAAAATGAAATTGAAAATCTGTCGGACAGAATTTTCATGATCAGATCTTTGTTTTCGTAGGCGCATTGTCATATGCCCGACAGCCGTTGGCTGCACTGGACAGCACTGACAACAAATGCAGTGTCCTTGCCAAAGGACAGCCAAATCAAACAAAAACAGAAACATCTGCATTTCCGCTTAAGCAAATAGCTGCAAGATTTGTGAAACTCTCTTCACTTTCGGCATGTTTCAGATGGCCGATAGGCAACTTTTCCAAATACTCAACATCCTTTCGAGCATCCTTTTGTTGACACACGGCGAGCATTCTCGCCCTCTCTCTCTCTATCTCTCTCTCTAACTCTAGCCCTCCCTTTCTCCTTCCCACTCACGTCTCTGTGTGGAAGTCATGTGAAATGCAAACAGCGCCAAATGTGAATGGAATATGGAAAATGGATTTTAAAGTGGCCCTAAGAACAAAGGTCGAACTACATCAAGTTCATATCCTAAATACACATGCATATATACACACATATGTACATATACATGTATATAGCATTAGCTCTGCTTTAGTCTAAACGGCATATCACTTACTCAAAAGAACTTCAATTCACAACAAAAAATAAAAAAAAAATAAAACAAAAAACAAATGTAATTAAAACAACAATAAAAACAACGAAAAATTGTCGCAATATATAAATAAAATAAATAAAAAAATTGGCCGCCTTGGCAACCGCAACACACACTCACACTCACACTCCGTTACTGATATGCAGCTGACAAAAGTATCTCACAGATACTTCTGCCTGCGCTTGATATAGTAGGCTGGCCATAGCTACGTTAGTTTTTGCACTACGTAGCGTCGCCGTCGTCGCCGTCGTCGTCATCGTCGTCGTTCTCCTCACGTCTTTTTATTATATTATTCCTCATGCTACTACTAATGTTGTTGCTGTTGTTGTTGTTGTTGCTGTTGTTGCTGGTAACCTGATATATGTTTATGGCTGCGCCGCATCGGGCAACAGCAGCAGCAGCAGCAGCAACGGCAACGGCAACGGCAACGGCAACGGCAACTGAGCGCTGCTACTTTAACTTTTCATACACTTCTCGTTGTTGTTGTTTTTGCTGTTTGTATTTTCAATGTGCAGTGAAGACTCGTCTGGAGGTACACACACACACACATATACACCTCTATATATAGCTATATATTTGCCCCATTGTAGTTGGCAGCTCTCAAAACGTTCCATCAAACCATAACGTCGCCAAAGGCCTGCAAATTTCTGTAACTCTTTGAGCAGACCTCGTGGCAGTTGCATAGCACAGCCTCTTTAATTTTTAGCTACTTAAGCTTTATTTAGCATATTTTGCATTCAATCCAACAACTTCAACAACTTCATATAAATATTTAAAATATTTCATTTCAAAATGTATAAATGTATCATTTATATAGGAAAACCCTTTTTCCCATAGGGAACCCTTTTTTTGCCGCTAGTGTAAAATGATTTTTTAAGAATTATTGCTGAGAGTTTTCTAATTTATATCAGGATTGTTGTCAAGTTTATGGAACTTACATACATCCATCTTAAATATATAAACTTTATAAGATGATATTCCTATAAAGATAAAAATACATATACATACATAATTTTATGTATGTATATATCATCAAAACGATGTAGACTAGAGCAGCTATGTAATAGGAAAGATATATAGAGAAATTATGCCAAGTGCCTATATAGTAGATGTACGTATATTAAACTCTCATGAAACTCTCTGAGCTATAGAAAATGTTTAGCTATTCAAACATGTTTAAAATAAGTTAAAAATAAAAGTTCAACATCAAAACTGAGTTATTGAAATATGTTTTTAAAAATTTTAATAATAATTTTAACATTCGTAAGTTTATTACTTTTAAATTTGTTTATTTTTATTTTTTATTTTTATTTTTTTAATCCTTTTCAACTTTACTGACAACATTTTACAGCCATTTAACATAATGTTTCCGTACGTAATTAATTAAAAACAGAAAAGGGAAAAACTTAAAAAACAAAGAGGAAATTCAATAAATACATAGCTAAAAACTAGATCAGAAACGTTTCGTGTGCCAGTTGAAACGAGAATATAAATATATATCAAATTTATTGTCCCAAATGTGTTTAAGTGCCGCCTCGTCGTATCGCTCGTAAACTTCCGTAGATTGCCTCTCCTGGATGTCTTCTAGCCACCCGCCCCCGCCCACTTAGCCAAAGACAAAGCAGAGTGCCATGCGCATATAGTCGACGGTTGATGATATGGCCGTTATAATGACACGATATCGATCTATATACATGGCTATGAACAGCAGATACTTCTTGTTGGTGACCTGGAATTTCCACAGATTGCTGGCGGCGCCAATCAGATCCCAGTTGGGCTGGAATTCCATATTGAAATGCTTTTCACCCACAAACTGGCACAGGCCATAGTAGAGGCCCATCACCATCAGCGGATAGAGGACGGGCAGCAGCATAAAGAAGAGCAGGACGCAGGTGTATATGCACTTGAGGAGCGTCGGAAAGGGCAACTGCTGCAGCCATATGTCGAACAGGTGCTCCAATAGAGGTTGCATATAGTAGACCAGGCGACCTGCCCATGATATATTTGACCACTGCAAGAAATGCGATGGGTGGGTTGGGTGGTTGGGTGCTTGGCGATTGTTATGTGTTTATCTTACGATTTTCCGCTTGTGCAGTGGCTTCTTCCAGGTCTTATGCATATTTACAGGCAATTTAGTTTTTATATAAATTTATAATGTTTCACATTAAATAACAAAAAATTTAGAGTTTTTAACTGTTTATCTCAAATACTTTTTACAACAACAAATAATGCCTACCCTACTTCATAATTGAAAAATTTACAATAACATCAAGCCGAAGAGAAACGAAGAGCCACTGTGCATTTGTGGAACTCAATTGCATCTTATTTACTTGGCTTCCACCTTCGATCCTGTATCGCCTGTTGGAATTGTTTATAGTCCACACGCTCCACAACAACAACAACAACAATAGCACCAACAACAATGGACATGAACAGCAAGCACCAGCAGCAAATCGCGCGCGCAAAAAAAAGAAAAAGAAGCAGAAAGAATAAAAGAAAACAACAATAACAACAACATAAAAACTTTAAGACTACTTCAAATATGAGCAGCGTTCCAGTGTTCCAATACCAATCGCCCCGTTTCAGACACCGACCCGTTGCTGAATGTTCATTTCAGTGAGTGAATGAGTGTGTGTGTGTGTGTGTGTGCGTTTGCTTGTAACTGTGTGCATTAGTGTATGTTTGTGTGTCGATCTCTCGTTCAGCTCTGGGCTCATCGTTTTGCGTTTGCGTTCGTTCGTTCGTTCGTTCGTCGAATGCCACGGTTGGCTGGAGGGTAGCTGGAAAGAGTATCAAGTTACCACAAAATGTGCGTGTGTTCTTTATTCGTTCGCATCAGCGCCGTCGCCGTCGCCGTCGCCGACGTTGACGTTGACGTCGTCGCTGCGCGTTATTCATTTTTATTCGTTTTATTGTTCATTCTGTTTTTATTATTATGTATTTTGCGCTTTTGCCCGTCTCTCTCTCTCTCTCTCTCTCTCTCTAGCTCGCTCTCTCACTCTGCCTTTGTTTGCGCCTCTGCCGCTGCCAGCCCTGCCAATGCATACATGCATATATGAATACATATGTATGTATGTGTTCATTTGTATGTATGTAGATTCTTATATGGGTCTGTGGCCCGTCCGTTCCCGTTTCTGGAGTTCCGTGACGCATTTGGGTTGAGTTGAGTTGAGTTTTTGCCGCCGCCGATGGCGTTGATAATGATGTCGTTGGTGATGATGGACCGGTATGGAACTGAGACCTCAACCCATAGCGCTGTCAGCTCTGCTCTGCTCTCTGCTTTGCCCCACTCTGACGGGGTGTTTCGGCTGCTCAATCGGGTGGGCGCTTGTGTCAAGTGATTTAGCGAACTATAATTAGAAAACTGAGCACCTTTCCAGTGCATCTTCCATCTTCCAGCATTCTCAATTCACTGCCGACAGACTGACACAAATTTCCTCAATGGCAATGTTTCAATTCCTAGGGCTTCACTTTGTTTCCCTTTTATGGACTTCAAGTTGAAGTTCGCCTTTACTTTTGCTTTTGCCTTCCGTCGTAAATGCCGTAAGCTGCTTAAGTTCTTAAAAGAGTGTTAAGGCTTACATAAAAGCGGAGAAGTTCATTGGTCAAGTGGCAGTCCAACAATGACAATGCCAACTCAGGTGATAATCAATGAAAAATGAAGCTTAAGGCATCTATCAATAATAGTTGAGAGACAATCTATATAGAGTACTTTTTATACTCTTTATATTATATTTTTATTTGTATGCATTCTTATAGCACTCATATTTATATTCATTCACTTAGTAATCTATCCATCTATCTATCTATTCAAGTTCAAGATCGATTCATATCCACACATCAGCTGTTTCGTAATCTCAGGCGCAGAAAAACAGACGGTAGCGATAAACAGAGGGGCCTCAAGTTAGTTGTAAAGGGGTTTCTGGAGAGGAGGGGGAGCGATATATCGTATGGTGGTAGATCGTTGCAGGATTTCCAAGAAATTCCATTGCTAATAAAAATTATAAGTCAATAAATCGTAAAAACAAATAAACAGTCACACACACACACACAGACGCACACACTCACACCCGT